CCAGAAGGAGACCCTGCCCCTGCTTGGCACTGGTTGGCTGAGACACAGAGCAGGACACACCTCTCCCAACAGCTGCAGCGAGAGGGGAGGCACTGAGCAGTTTACCCCAGTCCCCAAAGCTGCCACAGCCCAGCAGCCAGCAGTTTACAGCCCAGCAACAGTCTGTGGATTGATGGTTGGGAACCACTGATTTACAGCATGGAATACTCGGTGGCTACGTCTACACTGGCATGATTTTCCGGAAATGCTTTTAATGGAAAAGTTTTCCGTTAAAAGCATTTTCAGAAAAGCGCGTCTAGATTTGCAGGACGCTTTTCCTCAAAAGCACTTTTTGTGGAATATCGTCCGTGGCCAATCTAGACGTGCTTTTCCGCAAAAAAGCCCCGATTGCCATTTTCGCGATCAGGGCTTTTTTGAAGAAAACAAATCTCTGCTGTCTACACTGGACCTTTTGTGCAAAAGCTTTTTGGAAAAAGACTTTTGCCCGAACGGGAGCAGCATAGTATTTCTGCAAAAGCACTGACAATCTTACATGAGATCGTCAGTGCTTTTGCGGAAATTCAAGCGGCCAGTGTAGACAGCTGGCAAGTTTTTCTGGAAAAGCGACTGCTTTTCCGGAAATAGTGGCCAGTCTAGACACAACCACTGTGTTGGAAAGGTGATGAATAACCACACTTACAAGTGGAAAGATTTAAAAGCATTGTAACTATAAGCCAGGGCTGAATTACTGCTAATTTACCATGCACCATGAGTGGTTAGTGAGGATGTGATACACTTGGCACACAGGCTTGTAGAGGCCATAGTGGGGTTCCTTAGACCCTTTGAGGAGAACCCACATTGCTGGTATAATCAGGAACATATTTTTCCAGGATGGCAAATTTTTGACTGGGGGGAGGATGTAAGGGGGGGCTGAATTACTGCTTGCTGTCAGCCAGCTAAAAGGAGAGAGCTGCCCTCCAATTGTTTAACTCTGCAAGATAATTAACTGTTAACTGTTGATATGTAAATACAGCTCATGCCAGGAGGGGGAAGGAATCCGAGGTGTGGCTATGTAAATCCAATTCATCCAGGGCTGATGGAGGATCAGTGTTGGAATGGGATGTGGTATGTTGTAACTAATTTGGGGCTGTTGTGGGGGGTCACAAATCATGCTACCCCTAAATGTGGGAACTGTAAAATATGACACCAGTGCTTGCAGGAGAGACACCATCATTGTAAGAGGTCTCAGAGGAACAAGCCTCCCCCCTGCCAGAGTTGAGTGAACTGAGTTGAGGGGGCGGGGAGGGGAAAATGGATTAAGGGCTTGAGTCAGCCTACTTCATGCCTGCTAGGTGTGAGCTGTAAGCCTGGCTCCACCTGCCCCTTTCCCCCTGGATTTAAGGACAGACCTAAAGCAGACTTCATGAGGAGTCTTTTTGTTAGTCCAGTGGAAGCTGGAATCTTTGGCCAGCCTAGGTGGTGGCTAAAGAGTTGAAATCGCTAAGAGCTGAAATCACTGGTTTGGCCAGGAGG